AAAAAAAAAAAAAAAAAAAAAAAAAAAAACATAGCTGAAAAAACACATATAGCTGAAAATGTACCAAAGAAGGCAAAGCAAGAGAGAAAAGGGAGAGGAGAGGGGAAAGAGGGGAGGTAAAGGAGGGGAGTGGAAAGAGGAGAGAGGAGGTAGGGAACCGAAGGAGATTGGAAGAGAAGGGAAGAGGAAGATAGGGAGAAGGGAAGGGAGAGGAGAGGAGAAAGATAAATGATAGGACAAATCACTTCGTTAGATTTTCTTCTTTCTTTCATTTCTTCTTCTTTTCATTTTCTTTCTTTTCTATTATGACCTAATACGCCACTGGCACAGAGTAATATTTAATTAAAATTCTTTATTAAATCTTAGTATAGATTTATTTCACGACGTTGTCCACTCGCTTAAAGGTGATCAGTGGGCTTCGGAATCCGCGATATGATGTCCAATTATTTGATTTATGAGCAATAAGGATTTTGTGTGACCTCGCCCGTAAGTAGTTTGGATATTAGTGATATATTGTTGTTGCTTTAATCGGTCTTTGTAGGTCTATGTGTGTGTGGGGGAGTGGGGGAGGGTGGACGTGTGTATGTTTGTGTTGTTTGTGTGCGTATGTTGTATTTGTATGTACGTGTATATAAAGGTAGTATGAATTTCTTTCTTTTTTCTCGCTCTCTCTCTCTCTCTCTCTTCCTCTCCTCCTCCCCTCCTTTCTCCCCACTTCCTTTATTCCCTCCCTCCCTCTCTCCCTACCTCCTTCAGTCCCTCCCTTCTTCCCTCCCCCATTTCCCCCTCCCTCCTTCCCTCTCTCCCCACCTCCTTCAGTCCCTCCCTTCTTCCACTCTTTCTCTCTCTCTCGTCTCTCGTCTCTCTCTCTCCCTTCCTCTCTCTCTCTCTCTCCCTTCCTCTCTTTCTCTCTCTCTGTCTCTGTCTCTCTCTCTCTCTCCCTTCCTCTTTCTCTCTCTCTCTCTCCCTTCCTCTCTCTCTCTCTCTCTCTCTCCCTTCCTCTCTCTCTCTCTCTCTCTCTCTTTCTCTCTCTCCCTTCCTCTCTTTCTCTCTCTCTGTCTCTGTCTCTCTCTCTCTCTCCCTTCCTCTCTCTCTCTCTCTCTCCCTCTCTCTCTCTCTCTCTCTCTCTTTCTCTCTCTCCCTTCCTCTCTGTCTCTCTCTCTCTCTCCACCTCATTCACCTCGCAGACTCACCGGGTGACTCAATTCTTGCGCCCCGACTCAGCAAGTTGAAGTACAAGTCAGCGTAGAATTTCGGCGTCTTCTGGATCCAGAGTCGAGAACCGCTGGGGAAACCTGGCGAGAGATGAAGCAACTGATCATTACGTCATTCGTCATTACGTCATTCGTGTGTTTGTGTTCTTCATTCCGTTGGTTTTTGTCAGCT